AATTTCAAGAGGTTTTGCTCTCTCCACCGACCACGAAACTACGTAAATTGCGCAGAGTCAAGTTGTGATGGACCCTCGCATGCCAGATGCGTGTGGTGGCCAGAAATCACGCTGAGCAAGTGGCAAGCAATCGAAGGTGGCCGTGCATTAGATGCCATTGATGGTTGGCTTTGGCTGGTGTGCCTGGAAGCTCACCACAGCTCTAAATCCTGTTTAATCGAATGAGATCTCAGGTTCTTTTAACACCCTCGATGCACGTATTGTCTCGCAAGTATTTGCAAATCCGAATCATGTGATATTAACACGGATGCCACACATTACACTGCATCAGCCTCCGCAGTGTGCATGTTGGTCAGTGTGTCCAAGGATCATGGGGCTGTGGTGGCTGTGGGATTTTGGCCTATGGCATGGGCAAATGGTAAAAGTGGTTTGGGATTGGCATGGTCAGCATGGCCTTCCTTGGTTTGGAACGTGGTTTGGGTTGGTCCGCTAGTGAGGCATTTGGCTGTCTTGGAGGACCGGCGTGATGTGCGATGGCATGCGAAGGGACTCTCAACTTGACTCACAATTTATTTCAAGAGGTTTTGCTCTCTCCACCACCAGGAAACTACGTAAATTGCGCAGAGTCAAGTTGTGATGGACCCTCGCATGCCAGATGCGCTTCGTGGCCGAGCAAGTGGCAGGGCTGGCAGTCGAGGGTGGCCTTGCATTGCATAAGATGTCGTGGATGGAGCGTTTCTTTTGGAGCTGGATTTGGTTGGCGTGCCTCAGAATTGAGTTTGAATTAATTCATCCCCCACATCTTGCTGATTGAGACATGTTTTGAATCCTGAGTGAGCTACTTGAGCAGGTTTCATGACACTTTCATGACACCCACAGACCGCTTGGTCTCCATCCACCCTGAGACTCCAAATGCACTGAGGACTGGACCTGTGAGAAGTGTGGTGCTAACAACTTTGCCCGCCGTGACGAGTGCTTTAAATGTGGAGCTAAGAAGCCCGATAACTAGGTGGCAAGGCTTATCCGGCAGGTTGGCTGCCTGCCGGCCACGGCCACAGCCGCCAGCCTGAGAGTTGGGATGAGCCCCTTCAACTGGTTCAGCATTGGAAGCAAGAAGGGGCGAACCCATTGGGCTGCCGTGTGACATATCATGAACAGGAATCTAGTTCCTTCGGTGTTGCATGACAATGACACATGACCCATGTGGTTGTCTAGGGGCTTGGAAGATCAGCTGTAGAGAACACAATCCTGAAAGGAAGCTGGGGTTTGGAAAGCCCTCCCTGTGCGGGCAGCTAGGACAATTCAAGGACAGAGTTACATAGAGGAAGGAACTAGAGGCCCCACAAATGTGTTTCAAGGAGAGGCCTGCTAGTGGCCATGCGAGGCAGTGATGGCTTCCGCGGTGTTGAGTATGCATCTCCAGGAGTTTTCATCGGCCAGAGAAGGTGGGGATTTGTGGCCTCTGCTTTGACCCGAAGGTTTGAAGACTCAGCCGACTCAGCTCACTTAGATTGCCACTACTTGTTTTATGTGGTTGAACTGTTAGGGCCGGTTGAACTGTTAAGGCTGTTGGATTCCGCACAGGTTTTCAACGCAAAGAGGCCGTCACTGGCCCGAGAAGAACAGAAATTTCAACCATCGCCGCGTGGAAAGACGCTTGACTGCTGGTCGGTGGTGCAGTGTTGTTCCCCGGAAACTTCGCCTGTCTCCATTTTTTGACAACTTCTTGGGACACTCACAGGTATAAATATCCCCCGATGTCTTAAATTCACCGAAACGCAGCCATTTTCTCACGCATCCCAGGGACTTTCTTGTGTGCCAACGGTTTGGATGAGACACATCATCTTTTCCCAGATGCATGCACGAGCCGTCCTGGACCTCAAACACCGCGGAATGCACAATAAAGATGTTTCCTGGCCAAAAAACATATTGCGTTCTGTCCGTTTTGATGGCTTTAATCTCAGCCAATTTCAAGGACGAAGAGGCAGAGTTTTCTCAGCTCATTCTGAATAGAACAGTGTTTTGGTGTGAGTAATTCATTGTGACCTTGCAGGCCGGTGGCTACTTACGTTCGAAGGGTTTAAGTGGGTGTGGACGTATCATTCGCAATTTATTTAGCGTGGCAGTTATTGATTTCTGATTGGACTTCGTCCTCATGCTACAAATAGCCTTTTGCCTGCTCAAGCACGACTATATAAGCCAAAAGCCAGTTTGCGTGCTGCCACTCAGGCCTCCAACTGCTGAACTGAAGGCCACATAAGACCAGCCCCCAAACAGGACTGTTCACAACGGGACAAGGTTTGTGTCGTCTTTTTGGTGAGGTCTGAGCCATACCAACATGGAAACCAAGTTCAAGAGGAAGTTGAACTGACTGAACAGGCTTCTAATTTGTGATGAAAGTCTTTCCATGATTGCCCATGGCAAGCGTGCTTTGTCAAAATGGCTGTGGCCGCGACTGCGGCAAGGGTGCTGATGGTCGAGTCACTTGGTGGGCTGGTCTGGGGTGGAGCCACCAATATCCCGTGAAAAATTCTAGCCAGGTGCTGTCAACCAGGATCAACCAGAAGGGGACGCTTTCTTTGATGGTCTTTCGCTGGTCCTTTACTATTTGTTGGTACTTTGGGCGGCTTCTCTGTGTCCTCTCTTCATAACTGCAACAGTAAACACCTTATCTTGCACACGCAGTGCATATATATTTATTACTTTTGGCCTCTGATAGTCTTCAGATAGAGTACCATCTTTTTATCGAAAGCGTTACTTGACACTTTCCACTGACCTTTTTTTTCTGCACAATTAGGGCTAAAACACCCACTGATTGCTTTGTGGACAGAATAAGTCAAGTGTGCATTGATGTAGCTGAGGTTTTTCCAACATGTTGCAAGAGCTGTGTCACTTGGATGCAATGGTGACCTAGTAGACTCACCCGGTCTTATCTCGCAGACGTCACCTCTTCAGGCGTACCTGAAAAAGGAGCGCGGCTTGTGCGGCCACGACATTGACTGCGACATCCGAACCTTGCCTACAAACGCAAATGCAATCCTATGAAGTGAAGGCTGGTTTGTCACGTGCCAGGAGCACTTTAAACCGCTTCGATGTTGAATGATAAGGTTGTCCTTTTCATTTCTCCTCAAGCTGTTGTGTTTCCATAGTCCCTTTCGCTGTTGTTGGCCACCTCATCGCTCATGGTCGGCAGTGTCAGGGTTTGGGGCGTTGACGGCGTTGACCGTTCTTCTGAGGTGCCAATGAAGCTGTTTGCCCTCCTTGGTACTGGAAGTCCGCGGCCGTTTGGCCTGAGCCTTTCCACGAGGAGGTCGGCGGGGAATATGTGAAAGAGAGCCTTGGCAGGGGAGGATGGACTAATGCTAATGGATGGACTGTTGTGAAGAACGGGGTTGGTATCAAGTCATCCCTAGACCCATGTCACGGACACATTTATATTGATTGCACCTCCTAACTTCGAGATTTCTCGATGTTAGGAGGTTTTTGACATTAAGCAACACATGACATGACGGACCATGTCACCAAGGGAATGGCGGCCGCAACTCCCATGTTATCCTCCAGTTATTGCATTTGGTAAACTCAGCTACCTATTGATGACTTAGAGGTAGCCATTCCTATGTCATTAGTCCTCTCACTATAACTTGATGACTGGTTTTGCTGCAGCATGTTGGGCTCGCTGCAGGATGGGAACCAAGATCCTGCAACGCCGATTGCCAGACTGGAAAGTGGTACGCTGTGAGCGAATAGAAGACGCAGTGCTCTGGGACAAGTATACAGCCAAGCGTGCCCAGCTTCTTAGTAAAACTCTCGCCGCTGCAGCTTCATCTCCATAGCCTCCGGCGGACCACAAACGGTCCACGGCTCTGAGGCTTCGAGAAAGATCCGTAGCGAAGGCCAACATACAGCCAGCTTCTTGGCCATATACCTCGCGTATGATGAGAGCGCAGTGGTATGCGAGGGAGCCAAGAAGAGAAATGATCGTATGGACAAGTTCTGCCATGGCCGTGCATACAGACCCATGTCCAAAAGTCATGTTCCCAGCAGGTGTAGACTCGGCGTGGACGGCATTAACCTTCCATCCATCACTCCCGACCTTTTCTTCTGAGATCCTGAGCTCACAGGAGACGGCTGAGAGCATCCAATATTCAGCCAATACCACCCTTGATCATCGAGTCAATGAAGTTTGGCTCCTGCATGGATCCTGGGTCGCACGAAGGGCCTGAAACAAGAGTCCCCTTTGTTCATGCACCAGTGTTGAGTGGAGTCAATGTTGTGGGCTTGTTGATCATGTTCATGATCCCTGAAGCTATTCGGGTGCCACTTTTGTCTAGAGATGCTTGGTTTGGGTTGAGAGGTGGACACCTGTGTTGAAATGACGCGGGAGCCTTCTCCCCCAAGGTACCTCAGAGGAGGCAGCAAAGGCCATTTCGCACAGCAACTTCCTGCCCAGCAGTGGTGGTTGTTTTGGCTCTGGTATCTATTTCGCAGACGATGCGCGAAAGAGCAACCAATATGCCAGCAGAACAGAGCTTCAGCTGAAATTGGACAGGTGGCGCACAAGCAGGTGGTGGCACATTCCAGGGTTGGTCCACTCATCTAATCTCAGCTTTTCAAGAACCGCCCCTCTTGCAATTCTAAACGATCTTTGTCAGATCACCAAACATGGCAATGTTGGAAATCATCTCCAAGGGGCTGGTTCGTTCAATTTTTTCTCTTTCTCCTGGCCAGAGCAAAGTCCAGCAAGATGCGGGCCAAGGCAGAAGACCAGAAGATCATGCTCTTGCGGCTTGCTGTCAGCTTAATAGCGATGACCTCCAACATATTAGGAAAAGGAACCTATCACATTGTTGGTGCATGTTGGTGCCTATTCCGGTAGGTGACCAATGACACCAAACACAGATGGTTGATGATCGTCTCATTCATATATTCGATCTGAAGAAAATCCACCTGAACCCACCAAGTCCAGGGTTGGAAGCCGGGCCAGTCGTGACCTTGGCCGATTTGGCAGGCATGTGGCCTGGGCGGATTCCGAGGTGTCGAGTGGCCCTGGGCGGTGTGAAGGTCTTGCCCGAAGGCCAAGATCGCAGCGCAGATCGCTTTGCTGCCGATCCGTCGATCGATGCTTTGGCGGCAGAGGGTGGGGTTCATGGGGGAGGTGGGATGGAACCTGCCACAGAAGGAGCCGCCACTCAAGGAAGGGTTTTTGATCGGTTGATGAGAATCACTGCTGTTCACGCAGAAATTCGCGCAGGCGAGAGAGCGGTGCGGAAATGGTTGATTTTTCTGGTCAGGACTCCATTCTTGGCACCACCGATGCCAAAGAGTTCGTTGTGTACGATTCTGCTCAGATCTATCCGGAGTACATCATGTGCCCCACTGGTGAGGGGCGAGGGTGACGGAACATGATGCGTGACAAGACACTTCTTTTGCTTGCTTTGAGGGTCGGGAAGCACTCACGACACCGAAAGGACGGATTCTCGCTTTTTTTTGGGGTGGGATTCGCCTCCAAGACCGTGCAAGTGTGGCAAGAGCCGGCGGTCAGTCCGGTACTTCGACCCCGTCGATGTATGAAGCATCGTGCATGAGCGTTTGAGGCAAGCGATGTGATTTTTCCCCCTTGCCAGGTACTACCAAGAGATAGGCACTGCCTGAGGCCTAAAGCATTACCGTGCGGAGCCCGACGGAGAGCCTCTGCGCCCAGCCAGGGAGCTTCTTCAGAAGACATTTCTTGATGCGGATGCTGAGCTGGAGCCGCGCTGGCAGCTGAGTGCCAAAAGGGATGCTGGCAGCACGTTGCTGGGTTCCTCACAGGTGTTGAGTCAATCCCAGGTGCTGAGTCCTCAAGGCCCGAAATCACATAAGCCATTATTTTTTAAAACCATTTTAGGGCATCCTCAACCAACTGAGCATTTGAGCCCTCCGGAACACAGAACCTAATAGCAATGGCCTCCAACCTAGAAACGGCATCCAATCTAATGGCCTCGCTCCTGTGGTGTGGCCGTTTGGCTTTTGCAAGTTTTAGGGCCAATGGCCTTGTGGGCGGTGCCTGCATGTCGACTGCATGTCGGCGGCGGCAGTGGTTGCACAACGCGTGGCTGAAATCCGTGCCTTGACCGGTTTTGGTTGTTCATGCTTGTTTGGGAAAGCCCGGAGAGATGTGGCTTGTTTATGCCTACGGGTGTAAAACCGAACGTGTGAGAGGTGGGGGGGGGGGGGGGGGGTGGGATGGGGCATACTGACGTTCGTTTGCACTTGCTATCTGAAGTTGATGCTACGTGAAAGGTGGGGGGGTTGGGTTGGGGTGGGATGAGAACATTGTCATCGTTTTCACGACAAGTAATCTTCGGTTTCATAGCATTGTCATCGGTTTCACCACATTATCTTCGGTTTCATAGCATTGTCATCGGTTTCATAGCATTGTCATCGATTAGTCGTGTGATTAAAATGGGGTGGGGGGGGGGGGGGGGGGGTTGTGATGGAATGAGGATGTGGATGTCATGCTGAGAACATTGTCATCGATTTCACGACAAGTAATCTTCGGTTTCATATCATTGTCATCGGTTTCATAACATTGTCATCGATTAGTCGTGTGATTCGCGGATGGCAGTGGCGTTGGGAAAACACCACGTGTACTAACTTGTGCAAAAAAACTGCGCAAGTCTACTTGAGACAGGACGCATGAAAGTTGAGGACAGCCCGGGACAAAAACGGCGACGGATTTTGCGCTGGCGCTCGGGTTTCGGCAGATTCGGCTTTCAAAATAAAAGGATCCGGGACCCCCAAAAAACATCATCGAACAAGCAAAAGTACTGAGAGGGCTTGCACTTTTGAATCAAAATTTGCACGACTACACATGTGATTCCACACCCGGCGGGTTGTTTATGCTTGTTCTTTCTGGCACCCTCCAAAGGGTTGTCAGGGGTTGTCACGTTTAGCGAGACCCAGAGGTGGTGGCCGCGACACCTGCAGAAAAAAAAACACTGTTTGCGCCCCCGCTCCTTAGGTGATGAAGCGGAAACCCAAGCGCAGGAGCAGCGGAATGCAACGCTGAAGGAGATCTTTGATCGGCTCGATGCGGCTTGGCGGAGGCTTGGGAGATCGCTTTGAGGCGAAGGGGAGACCAAGTTCGAGTCAAAGGGGAGAGAGAGAGAGAGCGTAATAGATATAGCCTCCACCCTAGTAGCATGGCCTCCAACCTGCTAGCTGCTACTAGTGATGCCCTCCACCCTAGTAGCAATGGCCTCCAACCTGTGAGAGAGAGAGAGAGAGAGAGCGGGAGAGAGAGAGACCAAGTTGGCAAAGCCACGGCTTTCGGGGGCTGAAGCAGACGCCCACATGCAAGCGAGACCCCACAATGCGAAGGCAACAGAGTGAAGGGAAAGGTGGCAAGAGATAATGCGACTTTCTCCTTCCTTTTGTCCAATTTCTGGGGCCTAGAATTTTCGTTGAGTCATTGATGGATCCATGTGCAACCCCTAGTAGCGTCCTTGCTCCGTTCGTAGCGGACATATGTGCAACCCCAAAGCGCCGAGGACAACGGCAGCGGCTCGCTAGACCGGACAGAGGTCCGGAGCCTTTTGCAACAGCTGAACAAGGCGGGACCGACTTCCTGACCACAGCTCAGCATGTTAAATTGCTTGTTTGGAGTTTGCCCGGCTTTCCTTGTGCGGGTGAGACGTGTTCCAGATGGGTAACTCAGTTCTCTGCCTGGTGCCAGTGCGTTCGATAGCTTCTCTAGATCAGAGGCTCGTATTACGGCACCGTTGTTTGTGCTGGGTCATTGAAGATCAGGTCTCCCGTAGCCGACGCAGCTGATCTTTGGAAGATTCATCGCTGGATTTCAGACCCGTGCTGCCAGGGCTGCTTCCCAGATACTGTCTCATTTGCTGTTTGTTGCCGTGGTCTCATCAACACTGTCTGGCACTTGCTGGGGGTGGTCCTCCAGCATCCTGCAGTGCCACCTTGCTTGTGTTAAAATCGTTGAGATGCCTTCATTGATGAACGATCACCTCATGCGATCACCTCCCCTGTGTACTTTCAAGCTCGAGGAGTCTAGGGGTAATGTTCTAGAGCTAGAGCAATGGCCAGAACCATTTTTTGGGACAGAGCGGTATTCTCCATTGAGTTTGGAGCGTTATTTATCAGCTCAAGCACCTCCATCTCTGGATTCACTGGTTTTGGCCGCGCGGCAGCCTTGCATCCAACCTTTGCATCCGGGTCCAAACCATCCGACAGGGCGTTCAGCCCACGGAACAAGAGCTGACCTTCGTCATGAAAATGGCAGGCGCGGTGCTGGGCTTGAGCTGGTCGCAACAAGACTTGAAGCATGCAGAATACGTAGGGGATACAGGCTGCAGAATGCGCAGTGGACTTCCATACTGGCCACATCGTGCGTCCGGATGGTTGAAGCACTCTAGATAGTTAAAACATGCTTTGAACATTTTTAAAGCCATTCTCCAGAAACGTCCTATGGAGATGTGACCTAGGTGAAGGCACCAGCGTAGAGCCTGGCAAGCGAGCGGCAGCTGGGTTGAAATGGGCTCTGCAGTTCTGCAGTTACGTTTGCCATTCTCTGCGGCCTTTTTGCCTGAGACCTTTGAAAACCATTGAATTCTGACCTTCCTAGCAGTTTATTGCTCGCACCAGGTTCTTACGGATGACCTTTACAGAGCACTGGGCATCACAAGGGTTTCAGACAAACTTGCGCAGTAGGAAGGCACACCAATTCTGGAGGGGCTTTATTATTTTGCTAGAAAAAACTGATGCCGCTGATGCATTGTTGGCTTCTCAACAGGGACCTAGTCCTGAGAAATGGATGCCGCAAAAAGTGGTTGTGAACTCAGATTCTCCATGCGGTTTTGCAAATCCACCTTCGTCACTGTGTGCGACTGACATGAGTGATCTTCTTTCACCTTTTCGCTTCTCTTTTTTTGGTAGGCTATTACGCGGTATGAGGAAAGAATCGGCGGTGTTTCTAGAAAAAATCTTTCAACTGTGTTACTTCAAAACAGCGCCCGTTTGGCTCACATCCATGGCGTTCTTCAGCAACGTCTCGGGAGCTGCAAGCCGCAAGCCGAAAGCATTATCCAAGCTTGAAAACGTCTGAGGAGACCAGAAGCTTGGAGATCGGCAAAGACAATCTGATGCAAGCCGTGACCTGCTGGAGGGTCTATCAGTCCTCGTGTGTGGCCGAGTGATCGAACAAGTGCGTTTGACAAGTGGGAAGCGCTAGCTGACACGGTGTGGTACCTGAGGTTTGCAGACGAGAAGAGCATGGGGTCCATCCTCTTCAAGATGCTCAGTTGCAGGAACTAGTGCCACTCTCATGGTTCAGCATGGTGCCTTATTTAATCTATATTGCTAGCATCTTCACTATATAGTCCAATGCTTGATCCAAACCGCACATGCTCTTGCTAAGAGGTCTGAGGCCCAGAACCACACAGGATAAACTCTAAGCTTTTCAGTGTCACAACCTGTGTGGAAAGAATCTCAGCATCTATCACCTAGCTATATATCTACATACAAATGAACACACGTACAAACATACATTTATACATCCATCCACGCATTGACGACCTGATGCATGCGTTCTTTCGACCTGATGTTTGCCTCGCTCCAGGCACGGTTGCGGGATGGTTCTCCTGCCAGTTCCAACGAAAACCAAACATACCAGGTATATATATCTATATATATACACATATATAAATCATCCAGCCAGTCGAAATCCAGTCAAGTCTCAGAGAAAAGTCTGATCATCAAACAGGACTCAACTGACCCTCCTGCTGACTGAGGAAGTTCGACCCCGATGAGACGGGATACCTGGAGCGTGACCAGCTTAAGGCGGGAAAGCTCAGCCGTCAAGCCGAAGTCAGGGGCATGAACCAGTTGGATAGCCTGACTGGGGTGGGGCTTGTCCAGAACGGTAGCTGTGGCTGGAACCTCTCAGTAAAATGTGTTTGATTGGCTTGGTCATGACGCAACGGCTGGCATTTGGGTCACTCTGCTTTTGTGCTGGTCACCCACACAGAGTGATGAATCCGGAGGCCATGCTCTCTGATCTTGAAGGTGGCGACACGGCGCGATGGGACTGTTTTCTTTTTCAATCCTGGATTGCTTTGCAAGCACATCAGGGTCAGGGGCTTTGAAGGGGTATAGGCCAGGATGTGACTGAACTCCGCAGGATGTCACTGAAGATGACCTAGAGACTTGGCGGCTAGGTGGGTGGACTGGATAGGAGCCTGGAGGCGAGGAAACATTTCTTGGCTTGGCAGTGATTGCAAGGAGGCAGGGTGCCCACCGTCGGCGACGCGGGCTAATTTTCAGGTATGCTCGAGTCTCCTTAAAAATTGCAACTGCCATTCTGGACAGGGCTTGAATCTGGAGGTTGTCCAGAATG